TACAAAAGCGTAACACTATCGATCCGGTACGTTATTCTTACCGCCCTATTCCAATCATTGCACAGTAAGCTGACCACGCTGTTCGCCACGTACTCAAGCAGAGAGTACCCATGTATACAAATGCCACTCTGAAAGATTGGTTCACAGGAGGTATCCCCGCGCAGATATCTCGAGCATTAAACTATTTTCTCGAGATGTCTTCAATGGTCTTAGAGATTCTGGACGAAACCCAGATTGTCACTAAAACTGCGTGAGTACCCTTTCTTAGTACCTGTCCGTTGGACTCAATATTCGAAAGTGAATTTGCACGGGTTTTCGGGATAGATTTCTTCTCGGTCGACCCTGCATGCCCTATCCGGGTCCTTCCACCTCCTCCTTCATGTCGACATGGCACTTCGCCCTGGTATCGTCTTACACCTCATCCATGCGTGGGGATATGTCCTTTCTACTCCTCAAGACCGCTTCTTGAACTCTATCATGCTCCGAGTTCGGAAGAGGGTCATCGACCTGTCACTCGTCGCATTGAGCCTTAGCTTTCTATTCGCCGTAATGATCCTCACCATATACGATAACCTCGCCATGGACTCGCGGTGGATCACATTTCAAACGTATCAACGAGACTACGGGATCCGTTTGGACATCTCCCACATAGCGGTAGTTTTCTTATTTCTCACCTACACAGACGTCATAGTCTCGTCGGTGCTGATCTCCACGGAATTACAAAAGCGTAACACTATCGATCCGGTACGTTATTCTTACCGCCCTATTCCAATCATTGCACAGTAAGCTGACCACACCCTAGGTCTTGAACCACATTCTAGTAGGAATATGCCCGCTCTTCTTCATTCTCGCTATCAAGGCTCTTGTTATGGATCTACAGCCACCTTTCAGAGTTTGGACCTTGATCGCCGAGCTTCATCCCACCGCGGATTTCGAAAATGACCCATTCGCATCTTCGAGACAAACCCTCAGTACCGTATCCACCGTAATATCTGGCGTTTGTCGTGTGGCGACCACTGCAGTTCTCATTCGGACAATGACTTTTGTCGATGGGGAGACGCCAAAAGTATCGGACTCTAGTCGTGGATCTTCTGATCACGAATTGAGGACATATTTGCTCAAATTCTTCAGAGACGAAGAGAATATGCGCCCTGATGGCCTACAAGAATAGAAACATGGAAGATGAAGAGAAGTGTGACATGGGAGACGAGAATGACACTATAGCGATACATACCGAGATGCAATTCATCAACGACGTGGCCAAATAACTTATGCATCGCGTCATAGGCAAGACGTGGGTCAATGCCGAGTGCTCTTTGAGTACGACATCCAGTAGGATCTCCTTCAAGCGACGAACGAGAGTCAGTGATAATGGAATTAGCGATTGCTCAATCTTTCATTTACTTATTTAAATCGTTTAGTTCATACATACTATCTAGAGAAGCTGGTCTATTATCTTTACTTTTAATTTACAATATATTGTGGTTATGGACACTCCATACGTCTACATTACCTCCTCGGCTTCTTCAACTATGAGTCTTTGTTCGACCTCATTCAGGAGCTGTGGGACCAAACCCCACTTCTCTACTTCCTTTTGAGATTTCACCCTTTCATATAGCCACTCGCATTCCAAAGATTCGCATCGGATAGGTTCTCCTGGAGCGGTACTTGAGCAAGATGCACAGATTAGTTGACAGTCTTTTCTGTTCTTTTCGGCGTACTGCAAGCGCCGCATGAGGGTAAAGATTGTAGATTCTGGAGCACCAAAACAGTCCGGGCAAAGGACTGGGGAAATTTTCTAAGTCAAACTTATCCTGCAAGTCATAACTTACTTACCTTCCATAGTTGTGGCTTCACATACGAGGCATGTATTGCTTCCAAAGTGGGTGTCGATCTTTTGGTTCTGGTTGGTCTTCTTTCCGAGTGATCTGTACGAGGTCTCGACAATGTTTGGGTTTGACGGTTTCTTGTCAGTTACAGAGCCTTCTATCCTCTGAGGTTTGGGCATCTCATCGAACCATGCGCTGACGTCTGCTCCAACAAGGTTGAATATACGTTCCAACGGAGGAATGATCTGGTGCTTGATGTAGTACATGACATCGAGCTGCCTTCCACTTTATGCCAAGGATATTCGATCCGAGTCAGTTCTACTATACTTGTGTACAAATAGAAATAAGCTCACGTCTTGTCGAAGAGAAGAACTTGTGGTTCGACTGTACGACTAATCAATGTATCTCTGGGACCTGCTCGAGTGACGACATAGCGGACACGATCACCATATTGAACTTCATCATTGGGGTCTTCTGCCAGTCTGGCTGCTGCAATTGCGGCACCGGGAGGAGGTGCCACTTTATCGCTGTAATGCATTCTTTAGGCACATCATAGGGTTTAGGAGCCGAAAAGGCATACCTATATGTGCCTAATCTGACTTCTTTAGCGAAGATGAAATCCTGTATTGATACACGACCTTCTAGGATTTTGGTCCAGGTGCGCCAACAGTATTCTTTGACCTCGCTTAGGTCTTGAGATCGAAATAATATCCTATTATAGCAATGAGTGCTTGTTCAAGACTATTGGTAGTGTTACTTTACTTGAGAGTGTTTTCCAACATTTTCTGTGCCGCTGGAATCCCATCTCTCCGAACAGTTTCGATACCCTTGGCATCAAAGGAGGGAATTACTTCATCTGGGTGCTCGTATTTGAATCCAACATAACGCTTCTTGGCGACGAGTACAGAAGGCAGAAAGACCTTTTCGAACTTCAGTTTCACCGGGGCAGGGTTTGCTGCGGTGATTGTATTGGCAATGTCGTTTCCAATGATAAAGGCTTGTTCCTTGGTTCTATCAGGCAAATAAATGAATAAGGAGTCGGTGTCTCCGTAAACGACCTTGGCTCCCCATCGAGGGGTCGCCTCGATGATTTGTATTGCCTAGCAAATGTCAAAATAAATCAGAAAAACGTAGTGAGACAAATGAGCTCACATTCTCAAGCGTTTCCCGCCCAGATTGTACGATTGAATCTGCTATTTCAACAGCTGGCATTCTACCAGAGAATGTAGCCGATGTATACCCATATGTAACATTACTGTGAGAAAGTTAGACAGATACCAGATAACATTTTGATTTTTTACCAGATGAATTTGAGGGATAGCTGTCGTGCATCAAGTACACGAAGCAGCGGCTGTGACCAATGTCATTAATCTTCGAGTCTCCATCGATAGCTCCCACCTTGTTCCCTGTAGCTAATTTCATGCCTTGTTTCACCATGACACGAGTTTCTAATAGCTCTGTTAACATTCTAGACAGAAGGCTTCTTCGAATAGTTGGCTTCACATAAATTAGGCCATTAGGAGCCACTAACGTGTTTTAGTGGTAGGTATACGGACACGAAAAGAAATCATACCAGTTAGGTGGTCCTTTAGTTTTCCAGTAAGGCCTTCCGGAATGTCGAGATGATCCAAAACTCCGAACTTGTTTTGACCTTTGAAATATTTGACTCGGCCAAGACACGTCGAATAACAATAGTTGTATGCCACCATTACAGATGGGTATAACGATTGGAAATCCAGGACCAGTAAGGGTCCCTTATAAAATGCGGAAATGGGTTCCATTATCAAAGGCATCTTCTCGGTATGTTAAACCCCTGGCCATCCAGATTACAAAGTGCTTACACATTCGGCTGCGTTTTGCTTGCCGACCTTTGACGAGATAAGAGACATAAGCGAAGAAAATGATGTACCTTACCTGAGTTCGACTTGGAGAGATGAGGACAAAGCTTTCCGGCTTTGCAATTCGGAGCATAAAAGATTCCACTTTGAACTGGGATCCTCTACTGATAACCGA